ACAAGTTTGGATGGTCTATGAATATGAAACTTCTTTTGTGTCGGTTTTCTTTAATATTTTAACGTCATGGTTGCACATCTGGACAGCAGTGATTTCTTCTTTAAATGTGTAAATGTGTTGCATTTTTAGAGACCATATTTGAGTAAAGCAATTTGAGTTGTGCAACTACTCATTTTAAACATAGCAAAACATCCATTTAATTCAAAGACTATTTCCAAGGAAAAGAAGTAAACACACAAAAGAAACTGGTTTGTATCAGTATTGGCTTTCGAAAGATTTTGGCTGCAGGGTACTCAATCCTTCCAAGGTTAACATAACCAAGATTCTTTCGGTTCCTTTTTGTTTGAAGGGATTTAAATAAGTGGAAGAATTTACTAATGGGAAAAGTATAATATGAAGTGTTTTTAAAATAATTCATGGGCCTTTTTAACCCCCTCTTGTCATACTAGTTTTCAACATGCACCTTAAATTGGTGTTTAAAAGCAATAAGTAGTACCCACTGTCCCATATGATTTTGGTAATGAAGTTTACCTGAACCTACTTTTCCTCATCCATTCATTATTGGTCTTCTTGTTACTGCATCCTTCTGGTCACCTCCCTTATATATTTTTGTTCTGGTAGAATAATACCAAGCATGTCACGTTTTTATTCAGATTATCAACATCACTATTAACATTTTCAGTCAAATAACATTTTCCTTGCAAACCAAAAAGTGTTGTGTTGTTTTTTGTTGGATTGCAATTAAAAGTCTTGTAATAGTACAAGAGCTCCTTGACAATCATGTAAAATATATGGTCTATAGATCCAATGCTGTTTCATTTTGGAAATGTATATTTTAAATGTATAACCACGTTTTATTTTATGTTAATGACAAATGTTCAGCAAATATTGAATATGGAGGAAGAAATATGCTTTTAAAAATAATGTTATCTACTTATTCTCTGGCTGCAATGTAGCTGGCATGCTGCATTTGGGGCTGTCTATGTGTGTTTTTTTAAATGTCATCTTTATTAGTATTACATTCAAGGAATAGTACCAAGAATCCGTTTCTTTCAAGACCTTCCTCCAGTGTGTGGCATATAAGTCTGTGACGAGCGACATTACAGAAGGTCATGTCACTTTTAACTGCTTGCATTACATCTTTCTGATTTCCCTAGTGCCCTTCCTTTGTTTGATTAATACTACTTGCTTTCAAGCAAGGTATCAGAAAGCATAATTTGGAAAGAGAATTCTAGAGCTGATCTGAGATATTCCCCCTTAAGAAAAAAGAGAAGAAAACGAACTTCATAAATGTATCTTTTCTACTACATACATTTTTCGTCACTCTTCATTTATTCCTTTTCAAGGAAATCCTGTGTATAGTCTATGTTATTAAATTATTGCTGACAAGTATTTTGGCAAGTGGACTTTGTATACTTGAAAACAAAACTGTGTAGTGCTTATTTGGCCTTATTCGAAGAGGAAAGAGCTAGAATTTGATAGCAGGACTCCTTTCTTTTGTTTTCCTTAGTTAAGTGTTAAACTCCAGCACTCTCGTCCTAAATAGCAGGTGTTATTTGATTTCTCTGGGAAGGGTTGCAATTTTGTGCAGTCATTAAATGCACTTCAGTGATATATACAGTTTGTTTTTAAAAGCTCAGTTTGCAGTTTCGATGTTCATTGCATTTGGCTAGAGCTCATGTCTTAAAGCACAGCTCAGCTTCTCAGACACTCTTGTCCTCAAAGCCATCCATTTCACTGGACCATTAAAGCCTGAAAATTAGTTGTGAAAGCATCATCATTTTAATTTGGAATCTTTATCCACACTTCTACCTGTACCCCCTCTGTGTTTCTTAGGGCCAGTGAAAACATGAATCATAATTTTGTGTCATTAAGAGTACAGAATATTTTGTCCAGGAAAAAATATAGTATTTAACTTCCAAAAATTAATGTTTAAAATATTAAGTTATGTTACTTTATGTTTATTAATAGCTAACATTTTTGAGTACCTACTTTGATACAGGCACTGTATTAAGCACTTCTATGCATTATCTTATTGGATCCTTAATCAACACTGTGAGATAGGTGCTATTATCATCTCCATTTTTAAGGCACCTTCAGCTTCACCTGAGCAAAAATGTAATAGTGGGTTATGTTCTGAAGCAGCTTAAAGGCATCAGTAGGAAACCATCTGTATTATAAATCCTCACTTGTAGATGTTTATGGTGTAACTTTAAAAAGGCACTGGAGGAGGGGAAGAGCCCTCACTAGAGCGCTAAAACACGGCAAAAAGGCCTCTCGCTAACACAACACTTTTCTGCCAAATGTAAAAGCAAATGGTTGTATTGGGTGGTTCTGGCTGCACATTCGTGGAGCAATTGTGCGTAGCCAATTACCCACTTGTGCAGGCTAAGAACAGTTTGGGTTTTGCAAATGAAGAGCCTGATTCTGTAGACCTCTTTGAGTCATACTTGAACATAAGATCCACAGCTGATTTGCAAAATGTGTAAATTAAGCTTCTGGCTTGTTTATGGCTTAATCTTATTTTGAATTTTTGAAAATTAATTTGAAGATAGTGAAGGTCCTCCAACCTTAATGGTTAAATATTCATGGGTTCTATTTCCAGGCAAATGTTTGAAAGCACTTTGAATATTTTCTTTTATAAATCTGCATCATTGCTTAGATATAAGTCCTTCCAGGTGAATAAGTCAGTTCTGTGGGATAAATGATAGGCAGCTTACCCAAAAGTGTGTTCAACGATATGAAGAATAGATGATTCATTCACATATTCACTCAATCAACAAATATTTCTTGAACACCTATTATGTTCCTGACAATCTTCTAGGCACAGCCCGCTACCATTCTGCCTTCATAGCACCTGAAGTATGGTAGTAAGTATTGCAGAGAGGAGGCATATTTTATACAGTCTTAATTATAAAAAGCTGTAATATTCAGTTTATTCATAGGAATGAAAGAATAGTATTCATTTCATTTTCTGTGATATATTTGATATGAATCTGCATGGGTAATTTCAGCAAAAAACATTACTTCATTTAAATCAAAATTTAAGAGATAATTTCATTAGAGGTACAAAATAATCATCATTTAAGAAAATCTAACAAGGGTTAGGTGAATTCTTCTGACGCAATGCAATGTACCAATGTAGCTTCTATTCCATCTTAAACATCCCTCACAAATAGCCCAATTTGGAATAGCCTGGCATATATCACTTCAAATATATATTGTCATTATTGTCTGTATATTTGTGATGTGAGTACTTTAAATGTGAGGAAATTAAAGTTAACATGAAAGTTTATGTGATCAACCCTGTTTAAATTTTACTGGATTATAAGCCATTTGAGGGCTGATAGGAGTAAAGAGGAAGTATTTGTGGGTAATCTGTGTATTCCCATATCACCTAGCACCATGTGCCTTGGACAAAGGGGTTTATAATACATGCTATGGACTAGCTGAATATAGTTAGAGAGACTCTCAGAAGTCCATCTTTCTTGTTGAAGCTTCATTGCTTTATATGTCTCCGAAGTCAGTGAAGCTCCCGTCAGATACACAAAACTGCATATTGCGCTACTGTGGTTCTTTTGAAATGCTGAATGTCCAAATGAAAGACCTCAAAATCCTATCATTTAACAGAAAATTTAAAGCATGACGTTAAGTGAGGAACAGTCTCACAGGTTGTCAGAGGCTTTCATTATATATTCATTCATGAGACCTAGAGATTTGTGCTTGGGTAATGCTGTTAAATCAGTTAATGCTTTTAGAATAATTGAGAAAAATTATTAGGAATAATAGAATTCTGATATGTTAACTCAGTTTATGTAACTTTTCATAGTAAATCTTGGATATTAAAGTGTTCACTCACAGAATGTTCCTGTTTGTATCAGGGGAAAAAAAACCCACAGGAAAGGAGGGCTAGATGTCTCTGTCCTCTAAAGTTATGAGCTTTGGGAGAAAAGTTTTAAAATATTTGATCACCATGATTCTGTTGAGTCTATTCAGAGATACAGGATTAGAAAAAAAATACCACAGAAATTTAAAAATTATATCAAATGTCATAAGCACAATAAGTTGGGTCTTACCTGAATAATAACACTTCTTCCAAGGTTTCTTAAATTATAAGCTTCCATGGAGTGCATATGTGTATGTTTGTGAAGTGTGTAAAACCATTTTAAAAAGTCAGAAATGGAGTGAAGTCCCATTCTGAATGCCTACAGTTATATGTTGATCAAGGCAAAGGGAAGTTATTTGGCAAATCTTTTGGCAAAAGTTATTCCAGTCTGCTGAGGTAGGCTAAATAGCCATTAAAAAATACATGTGTGCATATCCACCTACATGGGTTATACACACACTATACTTATATAATTATAGATTATTTTTAATTTTCATTTAACAGGATACATTCTCATAATTCTTATGTACAATCACAGAGAATTAAAATGAGAGTTTTGGGTAGTCCACAAGATCAAAAAGTAAGAGAGGCAAGATTTGACATTCATACATAGGAATTAAAATTTGAGCCATAAAATATATTGTTAGTTTTATGCCATAGACCACCAGCATGAATCAATTAACAGACATGGTTTTTTAATCTTAGAGTTTGGTGAAAAGTAAATTAGCAATAGCAGAGCTGTTTCATGCTTAGTTATCTAGTTCTAAATTTAAAGTGCCTGATTAATACAGACAGCAGAATTGGTAGAAGGGAAATTTCCTGATTTAAAGCATCCCCCAAATTAATGTTGGTTTACCTTATGCATATTTCAAATTCTTTAAGTTGTCACAAAACATTTCACATAAATCTGGTTTCCCTAACTGCGATTCGGTTCCCTGGTTTTAACCAACTAAAGGCAGAGCATTTTCCTAATAACTATCTCTAGATCAAATATTCTCTCACAATGTGCCTGTTTCAAATGTTAATAAAGTTTTCATTTCCAAAAGGTTCAAAATGACAGAACAAAATTCTCTCCTTTAAGGGCACAAAATACGACTTCTGTTTCTGTCTGCAGGTAGTGGAGGACATGCTAGAGGACGAGGAAGAAGAAGATGACAAAGATGACAAGGTAATTATCTTTCCCAGCACTTGGGTACCTGGGGATGGGGAAATGTAGACATGACACTGTTTTCACAGACAGTTAAAAAAGGAGTTGAAGTGTTTGAGTCCAGAAAATTGGACAGTGCTGTTTATCATCCTAACAATGCCACTGCATGTTGCAAAGAGGGAGAGAAGGCTATAAATCCTCTTCGCTTTTGTCCAGAGCTGGGTCAAATATTTTTCTGCCAGGAACAAAAAAATAATAATTCAGCTTGTCTGGAACTTGATAGCTCTCGTGAAGATAACAGCAGTGACGACTGTTTTTGAAGGGCAAAAATTTGTCCTATCTTGAGTATTACAAATCGGGCTTTGCTTTGGGGGAAGAGGAGAGTGAAAAAATATCAGCCTGCATGAGTTGAACATGGTTATTGTCATCTGTAATTTTTGAACAATTGCTCAGCAAAAGGACATGAATGTGCAGAGTGCTCCAGAGGACATTTAAATAACCCCAGTGAGCACTGCCTTTGCCTAGGGTTGGAATGTCCCCGTGGTTTCTGCATCAGGAAAGCCCATTCAGAGAGGCTTATATTCAATCGCTGGTTGGTTTGGGGATGGTGACCACAGTAAATAACAGCCAGTTTCCGGGACTGCTTGGATTGGTTGTCCCCTAGGGAGAGGGGACAACTGGAGGTAGGAATTAGAATGACCTTGCACCACTGCAGCAGTGGCTCATGTTGCAACTGCTGCTTTCTATGGCAAGGAGGATAGTGATGCTGTTAAATTTCCAGACCTAAAATCTAAAAAGTCCTTGGGTGACATTGGGAGGCAGGGGAGAGAAAATTGTTAGTTATTTCCACATTGTTTGACATGTAAAACCAGATTTTTGACCTTCACCAGAATCTGACTTGCGTTATAGTAAAGCAGTGAAATTTTTTTTTGAAGAAAGGAGGAAAACAGTATATTTTAATTTATGCTCTTGACCTTTGATTCCAATAGAGAGGTACAGTTATATCCCAGTGTAATAATTTGTGAGCCACCAAAGGCTGTGTCTCCAAAAATAAAATAATTTGTATATTGGAAGCATGCATTAGAAATGTCACCAAAAAATTCAGTGGTTAACTCTCCACATGATTTTTTTCCCTTATATTCAGTGCTTGAAGGAAAACAAACACATCACATACACATGCACACACACACACACAGAGAGAGAGAGAGAGAGAGAGAGAGACTTTCTCCCTTCGAATGCTATTTCAAACATTTTTAAATCGACAGCGCTTTTATGTGAAATTTTTCTTCTGTATATCATTTAGTCATTAGCAACATCATCAAACATTAACAAAATCTCCTTCCTGCAAAAACACATATGTGCTTGTTTTTAATGTTAAATAACATGAGCATACACTTCTGGCAATAAATGATATGATTTATTGCTAAGGTCAGTTGTAGAGCTGTAGAGAGCTTGTATTTTAACTCAACATGCCAGCTCTGAATCATCATTTCTCTGCTGATAAACACTGAGCTGCCATCCATTTATGGCCATTTTCTCTTGCTTGTTGCTGCTTTATTATTAAAGCCACCATAAAGATCCAGACCAGCAGCAGGCGTTTCCCCAGAAATGTTAATAAATGGAAACCTTAGTGAAGTCTAGTACTTAATGTCCTGCTTGAAGTCAACCTATATATTTTTAGCCAGTTTGTTGATATTCTGTACTTCTAATCTCTCCCCTTTTTATGGCCATTTTTAATGGAGAGGATGTTAGGTATGGGAAATAGACACACCTGGTTAACCAGCTCACCAAAACATAGATGTCAAGTGGAACATGCCGGGGGGAAACAACACCAAATCTCTGGAGTAACATCTATTGTAATCTAGTGTTTGGTAGTCGGAAATTGACACCTTGCTTCTAACACATTTTCAGATCTAGTTACCAAAGTTGATTGAAAGTGAGTGCCTAAATTACAGTATTCTTCTATACAGGATGCCGACAAGCTGTGTATTTTCCATGTGAAAGGATTATGAGCTGATTTTCATAAATCCAGCCCTTTTATTTGAGTGACAAAAAGGAGGTTTTTCTTTTTTACTCATCATGCAATTGATAGCATAAAAACTGTATCTGAATAAAATCTCAAATGCAATAATTTACAATAGTCTTTTAAGTGCTTGCATAATGGAGGGAAGAATCTTAGAGTGGACGTCTTGAAATACAGTTTTTCCTATTAGAAATGGAAATATGAAAGGATGCTGCAAGGTTCCATTTACCATCTTCCATCTCGACTGGCTCTCACAGTGGTAAATGTTCAGTCTTGGCTATCGGTGTGTCTGAGTGGGAGAAGGGTAATTTCCTACTTTAAAAAATTCGTTGGTTCCTGTATTTAAAGTTTGTGTATAGAGTCATGGGTAATGGAATTTCATGAGAAAACCAATGTGTTCTTTGCCATACGAGCAGGTACTGACCTCTAGCTCTCATTATTTCTGTTTTCTCATATGGTATAATAGTAAGGTCAGGTCAGTGGGTCCTCTTATAGGATAAAAGTAAAAAAGATTAATAAATGTGCCAAAGCCTCACTTTAATTGAACCTGAAGCATATGTTCGAAGTATGTAAAATATGTCCCAGATGTTTCACCAGGGCCAGTGTCTTGGCTTTCCCTGATCACCACAAGGCAGCTATTAGTCCTATAACCTTTGGACTTGGGGGTAAATGGGGTATTACGTGGCACAGAATGAGAGCACCTGTTTTCCATTCCGCCAAGACCCCTGACAGGCTTTCCCTAAGCCTATCCACATGTTTTCACTTAGCAGATTGTTGGGCGATTATGAAAAGTGTCTTTCTTTAGAGCCAGCATTGATATTAGTCACTCACAATGAAAGGGCAAGTCATTGGCTACTTGACAAGGTCCGTGTGGGCATAAAGTGAAATCTTGTATTTTATTTGAGCTTAGGGTGTTTTCCCTTAGCATAATTACATACATGACAAAGACACAGGTATAAGAAGTTGAAGCAGACAAAATTATAATTACTTAATATAATAGCTTTGTAATACCTTTTCTTTAGCACTGACTCTAGTCACCTGGGAAGACTTTTGGATAAAGTTGGTAAAAGCTAAGTCATGATTTACCTGGTTTCCCATAATTTGCAGTTCTTCTAGATTATGTCTTTTAAATCTTTTTTTCTTGAGTTCTTTCTTTTTATTTAAAGAGCTAATCATTATTCAGGTGAGGGTTTGTGATCCACCGACTTACCCTTCATTCTCAAACCCATTGTTCACATTTGCTTAAATCTAAAATTAGGTGGCCTCTCTTTTAATCCAGTTCCATGGTTTTCACAAAGACAGAGAAGAGTTTTATGTGGAGAGTCTTAGTTATGAATGACTGACTTGTTAATATTTTCACTTATCTTGCATTATGTAGTAGCACTATGTTAAGCTGTGCTGGAGATGACATTTTTCCTGAATTAAATGTTAGAAAGACATCATACTGCGTTCCCAATTCCCTTTGTTGTAGAGCATTCTCTGAACCATCAACCGCAAAGTCACAGTTTGATCTGATTTTTTGACCTGACACCAAATCCTGCCTTTGTGGTTAATAAAATATCTTAGCAAATGCTTAGCTAAATTACCTAGGTGGAGCTCTCAACAAGCCATATAATAATGTTTTTCACCATGTTATAGATAATAATACAGTGGTCAGTCTGCATAATCTAGACATCTAATTAATGAAGATCAGCTTTCCTTTTGTAGTTTAAAAAGTTTAGGCATGCTTCCCATGGTGCATCCTACCCTTGTAATAAGATCCAGCTGCAATATCAGGAAGCAGATGATAAAATGCAGGTTTTCCTCAGAAAAATCATGGATTCAAATGCATGGCATTCTAGTAATGTTTATTAATAAAAGATATTAAAATGTTCAGCCATTTATGCTTACATTGCTTCTCCTTCTTCAACCATTATGTCAAGGTTACCGTGTTTCAAGAGTACCAGATGTAACAAATGAAACATATCTGAGTTCGTTCAAAATAAACAGATTCTTTGCTTTAATTCTTGAAATCTGTGTTTTCTAGTTCAAATCTCCAGCCCTAAAACATGTATATAAATATAGCCAAGATTTGGGCATCTCTGGCATCTCAAATCAACTATAGAGGTTGGGGAGAAGATAAGTGATGTGACGTGAGAGAATATTTTAATCTGACAAAATGGCATTTTCTAGTTGTATTTGATGAAATAACTTCACAGTGGGGAAAAAGATTAGGGCTTTGGAGAAAGGCAAGAAGAAAGGAGGCCCAAGGAAAATACTTCTTTTTGAAAATTCCTAAGCCACGTTTAACTGGAATAGCATTGTTTTCATTTATTTGTTTGCTGTTGCTGCATAACAAATTCCCGTACATGTAAAGGCTCAAAACAACACTCACTGTTTAGCTCTCAGTTCAGTAGATCAGAAGTCCAGCACAGCTCAATTGGGTTCTCTGCTCAGGGTGTGATGCTTAAGGTATCAGTCAGGCTGAATTCTCACCTGAAGGCTTTGGATAAGGACCCACTTCCAAACTCATTCAGGTTATTGATAGAATTCATATGTTTATAGTTGGAGGACTGAAATCCTTGTTTTTTTGCTGGCTTTCTGATACTAGTTGCTATTTTCCATGGCTTGCTCCATCTTTATATCTATCAATGGAGAATCTCTGTTGGGTTGAGTCACTCCCATACCTCAAATCTCTTCAGGAAGAGACAAGTTCCTTTTAAGGGCTCACCTGATTAGGCCAGGCCCACCAAAGATAATCTCCTTTTCTTAAAGGCAATTGTGCCATAAGGCAATTGAACATAATCTAGTCATGGGACCACCTATTTCATCTGATACGATTTGGCTGTGTCCCCACCCAAATCTTATCTTGAACTGTAGGTCCCATATTTTCCACGTGTCATGGGAGGGACCTGGTGGAAGATCATTGAATCATGGGGTGGATTTTTCCTGTGCTATTCTCATGATTGTGAATAAATCTTATGGGATCTGATAGCTTTATAAAGGGGAGTTCTGCTGC